ATTTTATGCTTCATTTAAAATGTAATGGGCCAAAAGGGGTCTACTGAACTGCCAAACTTTAGCCATATATGAAACACGGAATGGCTAGAGACTTCTCATTCATCTGACAGCTTTACTGCCGAGGAATAAATTACTTCCCTGAAGAAGTGGATTTCAATCAACAGATCCATAAGTGACTACTGATTCTATTCTTGTTGGTATTGGTCAAGTTGGGCTCAGCAGGGGATTGTAATTTCATTTCTCAGCATCTTTTGAAGCTTGAAAAATTCTCTTTCTGAGTAAGACTAACAGAAGAAAATCAAACCCTTCTTGAAGAATATGGTGAAAATCATTTTGTTAAAATGTTGGTCTGGAAGTAATCTCAAATGAGGTGATGTTTCCCACGCTCCAGTATTATATCATAAACATCAGTCTTCTGAGCCCTTTTTTCCTCTCTCTTACTGCCAAGTCAGTCTGGCAGAATAGTGAGGAAACAGATTTGACTTCCAGAAACTAGTATTTTTCTCAGAAATTGGCAGTAATCCACCTCTTTACAATGCTTTTAGGTAGTTTTGTATTGACAGAGAAAAAGCTTTGTAAATTACTTCTACAAGTGATAATTTTGTGGTACATGAACAACTAGGTTTATTTCTGGAAGAGCAATTTTTGATTTGTCGTTGTCCATGTGGACTAAAGCTGTATTACTGAATGAAACAATTAAAGGAGAGATTTCTGTGTGCCAGAAATCAATTTTCTGTTGTAATGTGTTGGCATAGCTCTGGTGCTTGTACTCCCTCTCTTCAGTAGTTCCTCAACACACTTCAGGAGTCACAATGGACCAGTGACTGTTCCCAGAGGGCATTTTGGTTGGAGTAACCTTATTTTGAGGTTAGTAGTAAAGACATAACCTATAATACTATACTGGGTCTCGTGGGGCTGAGTACCAGTGTAATTTAGTTCTCCTGAATCAAGAATTTTATATAACCTGTGGGAATAGATTTTATGTAACCTGTGTATGTATTTTATGTAACACAGTATCACTTCTACATGTGACAGACATTAATATAGGAGATAAAAAATAATATAGTCTTCCAAATCCAAAGGTACAGAAAACACTGGAATTACTGATAGCTTCGTGGAAATAAAAGAGTAAATTGTGATGTTTCAAGGTTGGACTGACTCCATGAGGAGGATTTTTCAGGATGTATCACTACAATTGAAAAGAATCAGTTTTGTGCCATCTCCAAATTTATTTTTCTTCTCATAGTTATATTTATATACATACCATATATATTTACAAGTCCTTACCCTAAGATTTCTTTCTTCTTAGACTGATGTTTTTAATAGTTTTTAAAGAATCACTAGAGGCTTTACTGAACTTTAGAAATATTCACAGATTTTGGGTGTTACTGGATGACTTATGTTCAAAGGGCAAAAGAATCACACAACTTTCCTGGTACTATTCTGTTAACAAATTGTTAACCTGAAGTAAATAATACTTTCTCCCTGCTCACAGAAAAAAATTAATAGATAGCCTTTTAGAGACATAAATCCATGCAAACAAATCCTTTAATTCTATGCAAGCGAAAAACTGCCTTTTGTCATAGTGATAGCAAATTCTGTTGGAGAGCAGGAGAACATCTTGCTGTTCTCCTCTTAGAAATGATACAATAGAAATTACTCTCTTAAACTATTTCAAAGGAATGAAACCTAGCTCCTCAAACTCGGAAATCATATTTACATATTCAATGAAAGGATTAATGTAGTAAAGTAGCAGTGTCAATTATATTGTGTAATGCAAAAAACTTGCAACTTAATATGAAACATTCTCACCTGTAATCATCTGTAAGTTGTATGTAAGGCTGAATTTCTTAGTAATCAACCAGGTCTTTCTATTTTCCCACTTAATTACCTTGATTATTTTTTTAAGTCACCGAAACACAGGACACATATACTCTTTAATTTCCTTAGTTTCTGCTGAGGGCAGGCTTTACTTATCAGTCTCTTTCAATGGGAGCTGTTAAAAACCCTGGATTATTTCACAGGCTCATAGCAGGTCTTCTTAAACCCTGACTAGTTCAACTGCAGTTGAACTTGAAGCTGACTCTGTATGTGACAGACATTAACCCTTAAGCAGGTCCCCATTTTTCTTAGTCACGTATTCCTTGTTGACCACTGAAATGCTGACAGTTCCTTTAGAATTTAAGATGCTCCTTTCAGTGACTAGCAAATTTTTACTCACATTTTCAGCTGCCTGGACTTAGTATATCTCTTTGCCAGCATTATCCATGGGTTTCAAAAGCATTGGCCTGACCTGCTCCATTTGTATCTGCAATCTTTTCTTAGGCTCCCAAGTTGCTCAGAGTGGTTTTTTGTGTCTGTTTTTTTATCATGTTATTATGAGGCTCTTCCAGGTCTAGCTCTTTGCCTTTTTTCCCCTCCTTATATTGGCAAGTATTTTCCTCTGCATGCTCTCTATGGAAACTGGCCATGTGATAGGGAGGTGCCCTGGGATTTATCAGTAGATGGAGTCGAGGGCCATCCTTCTGTATCCGTGTATGGGGTTTCTTTTCAGTAGATCTGGTCACAGTCTATGTGTATGGCTTGGACTTTCACAAGCATTTGAAAGTTTCGCCTGTGGCACCCAGTGATATCCAAGAGAAACATAAATCAGGGCTGGGAGTGCTGAATTCATTGAATCAGGGACATAGGACTTGTTTTTTGATTCCTGATGCCATAGTGTCAGTAATTGGCAATTCAGATGCCACATTCTGAGCAGCTCTAAAGAAAAGTGGGGACGACAACTATTGTATAGCTAGTGGGAAACGCTTTCTCCCTTGCTTGCTTTAGAGAAATAATTTCTCTTGCAATTGAGAGTCACTGGGACTCTGAACAGCAGAGGCTGGTGCTGGCAAAAAAGCCCCTGTAATGCCCATTTTCTGTTTCCAGTGGTGTGAATTTGATGATGAAAAGTGGCTAAAAAATATTTATCTCCAAAATAGGTTCCTGGGTTTATGATTGTGTTTACATTGATTGTAAGATCACACAACTACCTGAGAGTTTACAAATCCAGAAAGGATATTTTTGTTTCTTTTCACCAACCCATTCACAAAATTAAATTAACTGCCTAATAGACATAGATAATAATTCTTGTGTTGCAAAGGATTCCAAAACCCACTTCTTTCACAAATAATATAATCTTAACCTTCCTTCTCTGGTTTCTCATCTGTAACATTACATTGATAAAATTCTGGTTTCTGGCATCCTCAGGATTAAATACAGGGCTTCTCTTCTGACCACTCGTGGGCTCCATAAATCCTGAGCAAGCATTCAGCATTGAATGTAATTAATTTCAGAGCTGACCTGGGGTTTTCTGCATATACCTTTGATAAAGCTTGTTAAGGACATTGCTGATGTCAGGCTTTCCTCATTGTCTTCAGCTGCCTTTGGTGTAGGGGGAAGCAGCACTCGAAAGGAGCCAGAGGGTTCCTGTCAGTGTGGGATGGGAGCTGTAATCTGCTTGCTGTGTTTGAAGATGGATCCTGATTTCTGTATTAGCAGCGAGCATCTCTAATAGGCTTTGCAGCTTCCCGTTTACCCTTTACCAAATGGATGCATCAATACTATTCAGTGCAACTTCTCTCTTTGATTTTGTGTATATGTGCAAATATTTTGTTGGTAGCGCCTTCTTTTAGTCTAAATAAATTTCTTCAGTACTGCCTCCGTTGTTTTATAGTTCTCATTATGGTTCTATTGATACTGTGTGTATCTATTATAGAATGTCATGTAGTAGTAGCTATACTCTCTATACAGTATTAATATGATACAAACAAGTACACTAAAATATGATTACATATTTAAAATATGCTTTACCAAGTTATAAAAAGATATCCAAATCAACAAGTTTGTATGTTGTTCCCTTCAAGCCCCTTTTTCCCATCACAAGCAGTGTGTGGTTTCGCAGTGGTTTTCCTACAGGATGCTTCCCAACAGGCTAATTTCCCAAGCAGCAGCCAGTGCCCAGGAGGGGCTGTTCAGTGTTTAGGAATTGCTGCCACAAACAGGAAGCATTTCATGCTTTCTATTCACAGTTACTTGAGGAGGGAAAGGACGTGGGGCCCAGGGCAAGAGCTGCTTTGTAACAGGGAAAGAAAGCTGACATGGCTTTTGGTTACACCAGTCCATTGTGTTGCCTGTGGAAAGTAGGTGTCAGTTAAGTCCATGGAATATTCAGCTGGAATAGACTGCCTGCTCAATGACAGAATAAATAAATTACATGGTTTCACTAAAAGTAAAGTCCTAATAAATAAGTGAATGCAATATCAATGCATGTGGATGGATACTGTTTCATTCTAATAAAAAAACTCAACCAAACAAAAAAAAACAACCAAAACAAACAAAGAAAACAAGCTGTATTTTACAAGGAAAACCACTGTTTAGGGTGAAAAGTAAAAGTTACATTTCACCATGTCTGGGTTACAGCAATGCTGCATCATTTATGAGACAGCACCTCTAAAAGATGTGATGAACTGCTTTAGCCAGTGTTCAGCCATGATGGACCATGCAAAGATAAGTACACAAAACTGTGCAATTTCCCAGATCATTTATTCGGTTCAAATCCCTTAAAACTGACAGGCTGTTTAACAATAGATTGTTGACTATTGAAAATGCATCTCCTCAATTGCTATATAAATCAGGAATTACTTGAATCAGATTTCTAGCCACTTTTCAAGAAGGTGCCAAAGCTTGCTGCCTTTCTGCTGAATTACAGAAAGCTGTTACTTTTAGATAACTTCCTGTAATTTACCAGCAGGATCTGCTCAGTAAGTCCTGCAGACAATGTTCTTTGCCTTTCTTTGTGGACAGTGAAGCATTTCTCTTTGCCATGAGAAACGTTGAGTCTGGCATCAGCATGCAGTGATTGAGTTCTGAGTGCTTAAATTGTAATATCTTTTATTTTTCTCTTTTTGTCTTTTTTAAAAATATATTTATTTTTTATTTTATTTTAATTTTTTTAGAAGATGGGAAATTCTTATGCTGGTCAGCTCAAGACAACACGGTTTGAAGAAGTGTTGCATAATTCTATTGAGGCCTCTCTCCGCTCAAACAACTTAGTTCCCAGACCAATATTTTCTCAGTTATATTTGGAAGCTGAACAGCAACTATCATCACTGGAAGGTAGGAGAAAACGGAATTTCTATTTTTGTCAAAGCCAGTTCTGCTATTTGCTCAGCCTCAGCTCAGCATACACATTTTAAATCATAATATGGATAAGCATAAGTTTTTATTTGGATTTTTTTATTCTCTGCAAATATATATGTATTAGAATTGGATTAAAAATACAAACGGCACTCTTTTATTTTGGCAAAATTAAACCACTTGCTCAGATTCATCTGTACACATAAATTGAAGTTTTAGGAATTGTTCCATTACATTTGTGGAAAAGTCTTTGGAGATTTGGAACATAAATCTGTTATCCTATAATTTATGATACACTGCTGAAAGTCACACAGTAAATGGTAGAAAACTCGTAATAGATTTATAAAACATGTATGCTAAGACTGATTTTCAATGTGCATAATACGGCAGAAATATTTTTTACCTTTTGAGATGGATTATAATTACTTCAGGCATGATGTTTGTAGTTATTTTGTTGTTGCAAAGGTAAAAATTTAGGATGTGTACTCTCACAAACCCCGCACAAGTTGGTATTTAACACATAGGATTTCCCACTGAATTTGTGTGTGTGTTTACAGAAGCCTGTTTTCTCAGTAATATAGTTTAAATAAACTGTATGGGTGTGATAAGCAAATCATGATGCAGTTTGGTATTTGGTGTGTTATTTGTAGTGGTCTCATGGTTTCCAGTGAGTTTACTGGTGTGTGCATAACATTGGCATGGTGGTGTAAGGTTGTGTTTAATAATTTGATTATTTAGTTATTTCTGTCAAGAGGGTGGAGTTTCATATCTTTTGTCCACATCTACTTTCCCTGTCATACTTTCCTGCAGTTACAGTGAGAAATGCATAGAGGTCCACAGTAGCAAACACATGCATACAAAATCAGGCCAAGGAGTAGTAACAGATAAAATTATTTTGCACAGATTAAAGTTTTTGCTATTGCCTCACAGTGACAGCTGTGAATGTTTCTTAAAAAAATAATCTGCTCACACATCATTTGTAATTTCCTCCTTTTTCCTTTTTTTTTTGCTAATATAGGATAAAATAATGAATAAACATTGTTTTAATATATGTGCTGCTTATTCCCCGCACAAAGTGATCCTTCTATCAAACCCTTCCATAAGGATTTAATAAAATTCCATGGCAGCTGTGATGTCACAAAATTGATTATGACATCACTTGGGAAAGATGCCACAGGAGCAGATGCATTGTTCAGGAACAATAGTGCAATTTCACACTTCTGTAGTTTCTTTTTTTCTTTCAAGACTTTCAAAGAACTTTGCAAACCTCGAGGGCCTGATTTTGTGTTCATTGCAGATAATGGAAACAGAATTGAAGTGTAATTAAAAGTCTCATAACAGCCTGGCAGAGAGCATTCCTTTAATGAAAGTTTCAGACGAGGGGAACTCTGAAGGGACCTATAATAGAGTGCCTCCTAGGCTGTTCCTCAGGTGGAAGAGGTCTTCAAGCTGCTCTTATGTACTGCAGCTTTGTCAGAAATTCAATCTTCCACTTCTAGCTGCATGAATCCCTGGGCTCTGAGGGCCAGAGGCACCTGAATCGGAGAGACATCCTTGGGGTCTTGTGCATTGCTAATGAAACCCTTTACAGGTGGCAGCAGCTCATGCTTGAGTACTTTCTCTTTTACTCTTTCCACTTTTGAACTGAAAATGCTGCAGCTCTCTTATTTCTTAGTCTCCACTTCCATTTTCCATTTCTTTCTTCAATCACCTGTTATGGTTGAACAAACCTCACTTTACCTCTGTCCAAAAGGGAAATAAAACTCACCCTGTTCTGTTCACTTCATTTATCCATACATTCCCATTTTCTCTCTTTTCATTTTTTTTGCTATCATTTGGATCCTCTACTGCGCTAATTTAATACATAAACCAAGAAAAAAGAAAACTGGTCACTTTTTATCCCCTTAGTTTGATTTTTTGCAGGTTATCAAGCTGGAATGGCTGAGCAAAGGCTCCATGAAGTGTCAGAGCTGACACAAAGAGAGAGGGGAAGGAAGGAAGGAAGGAAGGAAGGAAGGAAGGAAGGAAGGAAGGAAGGAAG